TATTCTATGATCTAGCACTTTCCCCACTTGTCACAGCTCTTCTGTAATCCTACATACATATTGATGTACTTCTCTTTGGATGATACTTTTTTGCTTATCGCGCTTGTCATGGGCACCGTTTTCTCTGCATTCCTTTCAGCCAACATAGCCTCCTGGTTTAGAACATTCTTGTCTTTGCTGAGGGTGTGGAAGTCCACTCACAGACCAGGTGACTGTTAACATGCTAACTGGTGCGACAAACCACGGTCTGGATGGCAGGCACACCCAAAAATGCAGACTATATACTTTGGAGTTGAGTATGGACTGACCTAAGTAGCCAACCATCTGCTAGGTAGTCTATACGCAGAGAGCTTGGTTTGAAAAGCAGAAAAAAGGGGAATCCCTGGGTGGCTCAGCGGTTTAGCATCTGCCTTGGGCCCAGGGCCTGATCCTGTAGACCCGGGATTGAGTCCCACGTCAGGCTCCCTGCATGGAGCCTGCTTCTCCCTCTGCCTGTGTCTCTGCCTCTCTCTTTCTCTGTGTCTTTCATGAACAAATAAATAAAATCTTAAAAAAAAAAAAGAAAAGCAGAAAATATGCTTCTAGTTCTGCTCTTGATTTTGGATAAATTATTCACCCACCAGGGCACCTCCGTAAGAGACAATGGCTGATGATTACGTCTGTCTTTATATTTACGCCACGGAGCTAATTTGAACTAGGTAGTCTAAAATGACTGAAGCCCTCTTTTAGTACGAAAATAAAATGTATCGCTACGATGGGGTCGTGTGTAAAAGCGAACATAAAGAGCCTGTTATTCTCTGTAAAGGAGAAAACGTCATTACATCCCCATTAAACAAATACATGATATTACCCGTACATTATCCTATAGCATTCATATATGTGCCTGTATATAATATGCAACACCCTTTTAGCATAAAGAAGGCCTCCTCGTTGACTAGAAATACCGAAACACTGCAAAACTGAGTGCTTTTCTTACCTGCCATTAGTTCACATTTACTTTCATTGAATTCGTGGGGCGGCGGCATCCCCGGAAATGCTTATCTTCACCCACCGCAACTTCAGCAAACGGAGGCCCTGCGGGTGTGTCTCCTGAACTCTGGGCTCCTGTGAAACTCCTGCTGAAGTCTGGACGCACATGGGTTGAGGACAACGAGTCCCATTGATCAGGGTCTGGTTTCTTCTGCTTTGTCTGCCCGGGGCGCGCTTAGCTTCCATCTGTCTGTCATCCTAGAACAGTGTCCGCAGCCGGCCCATGCGGGCTCTCTTGGGCAGGGAGGTTAAGGCCCCTGGCATGAATTGCATTCAGCAACTGAATAAATAAGACAGCTTGGAGACGGGCTTTTATTCATAGGAAACCAGATAGCCTTTTTGATGATAAAATATTTATTCCCTATAGTCTTGTTGCCAAGACTACTGTGTATAGCACATTTCCTAGAAAGCGAGACTGCTAAAGAGGTCTTAGTAGGTAAATTTTAGGGTATTGGAAGGGTAACTTTTATTCTAAAAAAATTACTCGAATGGCATTCTGTTGCCCAGAACTGAGTGTGGTTTGACGCTTAATGGTGGTTGAGATAATACCATGCCCCATGGTAAGTCAATATGTTTACTTCTTTTGAATCCTTGCTTTCCTCTAAGACACAACTTCACTTTATTCCTTAAGAAAGTGAGGCCAGAGGCACCTGAGTGGCTCAGTCAGTTAAGCATCTGCCCTCTGCTCGGGTCATGATCCTGGGGTCCTGGGATCGAGCCCCACCTCGGGCTCCCTGCTCAGCAGAGAGTCTGCTTCTCCATCTCCCTCTGCTGCTCCCCCTGCTTGTGCTCTCTCTCTGTGTCAAATAAATAAAATCTTAAAGAAAAAAAGGGGGGAGGCCAAACATGCATTTTAAGGCAGCTAAGTAAGTTAAGCAGTGTGGATTTATATTAGAATTAAGAAAAATCTGGGGATCCCTGGGTGGCTCAGTGGTTTAGCGTCTGCCTTTGGCCCAGGCCGTGATCCTGGAGTCCCAGGATCGAGTCCCACATCGGGCTCCCTGCATGGAGCCTGCTTCTCCCTCTGCCTATGTCTCTGCCTCTCTTTCTCTTTCTCTCTCTCTCTCTCTCTCTCTCTCTGTGTGTGTGTGTGTGTGTGTCTCTCTTATGAATAAATAAATAAAATATTAAAAAAAGAATTAAGAAAAATCTAACTTCTCCAAATGAACTTTTTGTAATGACTTTATTTTATGCACTTTAATTGTTTTAACTATTTACAAAGTACAGGCTAAGCCCAAAGATGTCAGACAGGGTCTCTGACCTCCAGGAATATTCTGTTTAGTGTGGTTTCCTAGTAAACAGAGACAGATCATGCTACACCAAGGCAGACTCCGATAAACACTGTATTTGAAGTACGGAGTACTAGGGGGTATGAAATTCCGAGTGCAGTTTCCAAGAAGACTCTGAGGAAATATTGCCTTTGAGTTGGACCTTGACTCATAATGAAAGTAGGTAAGATTTACTGAGGGCCAACACTTTTCAAAGTATTTTAAACTTAGTAAATTCTTTAGTTCCCCTGATTCACCTTATAAGCCAAGTTTGGTTATAATTCCTATTTTACAGTTGCATAAACAGAGGCAAAGAACAGTTAATTAATTTAGGCCCGGGGCCATCGCTAGTAAGTAATAGAGTCAGGATTCAAATTCAAGGACTCTGGCACCAGAATGTTCCTTCTTATTGCTTCCCCTCAGGGATAAAGATGTCCCCGAGTGGATTCAAGTAGTGGGAGCAGCTCAGTCACAACTACGGAGGAAGGAAAATTCGAGATATTTTGGAAAATCCAAAGTCTATTAGTGCGGCTTGAACTTGGGGGGAAACGATGCTGAGGAATTGTAGAACATAAGATACACACAGAACACAAGTAGGTGTGGACCCCAGAGAGTTTGGACCCTTGGCCTAAGGAACTGCAGTGGGGAACAGGGGAGTGTCCTGGCAGGATTTTTGTCACCAGAAGACCTTGTGGAGGGGAGAATTGAGTGACTTAAGAGACAGACATTTTTTAAGGACCTGTTAATTAATTAAATTGTTCAAACTATATATATTTTTTGAGCTTCTCCTATGTACCAGGCACCAGTGTTGAGTATATAGCAGGGAGTAAGGGAGATAAGATAGACAAGGTTTCCAACCTCATTGCATGAAGGCATATGTAAGTAAATAGATAAGCAAGGTGATTTTATGTAGTTCCTTTTTTTTTTAATTTTATGTAGTTCTAAAAGAAAGAAGTACATTGTTGTGATGAGCTACACAGTGATAATAAGCCAGGGAATGGTGGTGAGGGAAAGCCTCTCTGAGGAAGTGATGTTATAAGCGAGGTCTGAATGCCAGGGGGATCCAGGCTTGGGTGAAAGCAGGGCCAAGGGCTCAGAGAAACGGGATTCAATTTTATTAAGAAGTTTAGTCCAAGCCGAGTTAACAAATGCAAAAATCTCTGGATTAGGAAAGAGCTCGGAAGGCTCAAGGGACAGAAGGAAGTGCTTAGCAGAAGATGGGGACAGGGTACGAGTTGAGGTTGAGGTAGTCGGACCCAGGGCCTTGGAGGTGAGGGTAGAGCATTAGGGTACATTTTACTGTCGGTGAACTGGGAGGCCATGGGGAGGTTTTAAGTAGGCAAATGGCTAAATCGGCTTTCTACTGTGAAAAGATCTCTCTGGGTAATAGATGGAGAATGGATTATAAGGGGACGGGGGTGAAAGCAGGACGATGGGTGAGGAGGCAAGTCGCAGAGGCCCCAACAAGAAAGAGATTATATGGCCTAGATCTTGAAAGTCAAGAGGGGGTGAGCTGATTAGGGTTACGTTTTGGAGGCAGAGCTAAAGAGATTTGAATTGAGAGAACCAGACACCAAGGGTGACTCTAAAACTGTTGGCCGCAGTGACTAAATGCTGTGGTGCTGGCGACTGGGAAGGAGAGCACTGGCTTGGGACGGGGGAGGTAAGAGTTCTGCTGTGCGCACAGTGAGGCCGGTACCAGGGGTGACTAGGGCAGCCTCCTGGAGGATGCTCAGGTGCGGGTGAGAGACGGGGACATGAGAGAGGCCACACTTACATAATTAACTGACAGATGTGATTTGATATTGGGGTGAGGGTTTAGGTGGCTTCCGGTTTTGAGCCTGAAGAGGTAAAAAAGGAAGCAACCCCACTAACCAGGGTGGTAAAAGACTAGGAGAAGTTGGAAGAAGAGCGGGATTCATGAGGGTCGGGAACCAGGAAGGACTTCCCGCTTGAACGGTGGATAAGCACACTGGGTTTGGAACCTGAAAGCCTTGGGTCTGAACCATAGATGAGCCAACCACCTACGGTTGCATATGGTTTATGCAACTATAAACCTGTGTGACAAGCTACTTAATTGCTCCAGCCCCAGTCTTCTTACCTGTAAAATGACAGACATGATTTGGTAATGGTAACGATTAAGCGAGATGAGAGAGGGCAATGCTTGATACATAGGGATCACACGATAGATACTCTCATCACCATCTCTTCCATGTACCATCATGATAACACAGTGTGATATTAACAGCATCTCTTGGCGTGTGGTTTCTCGGTAGGGATTATTACCGAGATAATAGCGTTCTGGATGTGTTAGTTCCTTTTAAGTAAGGCCTACAATGGTATTAACTCAGGTTTTCGATTCAACGCTCCTTTTTGGTACATCTAATCATCATCAAAACAAACTGGAGATTACTGATGTACTTTACCCATTTTAGAGATGAATAAACTGAGGCTGAGAAAGGGGGCCAGGACTTTTGGAGCCTACCTGGAAGAGCCAGGACTCACACCTGGATCGGACTTACTCCAACTAATTGGGAGCTCTTTCCCAACTAGTCACGCGTAGCATAAAAACACCTTTGTATCACTTTGTCAGTTTTCTGGGACCTCTGCTGAGTGAATAGATGGTGTTTTATGAAAATGTGATTGGCAGACCGCCACTGTGCTTTTCCTAGTGTGAAATCATGTGTGTCGTGGATTTTGCAGCGCCGGACCGTGTTCCTCTCAAGGCCTGTCTTTGGAGGAGATGAAGAGAGGTCTCCAGTCCTCGCCCGTTGACAAATACGGTGAGAATATAGATTCTTCAGGTTGATTAAGGGAACTGCCCCTAGGAAGCTGACATTATGTATCTGATAACAGGGGAGAAAAGGTTTTGTTTCATATAATAACTAGAAATGACAGGTGCTTAAAAACTACTATATTATAAAAGTACGACCTTCGATCTTAAGTCTCACAAAACTCTGCATTTACCATTGAGTTTAATAACGCGTGTGCCTAAGGCTGTGCTCGTACAAGCGTAGCAGAGTGTGTGCACACGTGGAAAAAGGTACAACTCTCCTTCATGCAAACAATCGGCTGCACCTTGTGATGCTCCGAACCCCCTGTCGCCACCTTGCTGAGTTCATCGCAGGTACGTGGGGAGGAGAGAAACAGGAGATGAGTTTCTGCAATGACATCACCTGCCGGGGGGAGCTCTTCCCCTTTAGCCAGCACCCAAGGGTAAAACGTAAACCCAGCCCCCCCCTCAACAAGCTGCAGCAGAGGTGAAGGTACCATGGATGGCGTCCGTTTTGCACAGGACTACTTTAAAAGGAATTAAGAAAGCTCTTGGAAAGAGTTGACACAGTCCTATGCAGGCCCCTGGAAGCCAGAGGATGGGTAATCGCCCTTAGCACCAGCTGCCATATTAATGTGCTCGGCCTGTAATGTCCTTTTTCCAACCTCTAAGCCTGAGAGGCTCTATATTTAATTGGAATTTTAGCACAATGGGCTCATTTATTCATGAGAACTTGCCTTGACAATATGGAGAACTGAAAAAAGAAAAATGTATGTCAGTTGAAGAGATCAGATTTATTACAAGAACCGGGGTTTGGGGAAGAATAAATTGGATGATGGGTTTCCAGGTCTCTGATTCAGCTGGCAATAGACCCTGCAAGCCCTCAGCTTCGGGATCCCCACCAATGCCCCTCATTTTGCCGAGTGTTATTACCTAAGGCATTCGAGAGCCTTCAAGAAATGAAGAAAAAAAAATTGTTCTGGCTAAATGCAGGCAAACTACTTGGGGGACATTAAAGAAGGGAAACTTTGTGCTCTGACTCCCAGGACGTGTCTAGAATGCAGTCGAGAGCCTTTCATCAGCAGCTTAACAACATAATCTATGGCCAGTCCCGCAGCCCGGGTTGGGGGACATGTGCTCTGGGTGTCACAGCATCACATTTTTTTTTATAGAGACAATACCGTTTTTCCAGACCTTTGCAGATGATGCGACCATGTAGCCACGATATACAGGGCATCCTCTGAAACATGTGCTTTGACCAAAAGTCTCTCCTTTCATGGTGGACGGAGCATTGCAAGATGAAGCATTTCATTATCGATCTTGTTTCTTGGAGGACTAAGACCCGGAGCAGAACTCCTCAAGAGGGAGGAGACGGGGGTGATGCAGTGAAGCTGGGTTTCCCTCCGCTTGTACCCCTGGGTCCCAGAGGTGGAAGAGAACACTCGGGTGTTAGGATGCAGGGAGGGCCCGACAGGCAAAGGAGATACAGCTCCATCTCCCCCTAGGAACGTCCCAGGGGTTGGAAAAGACAGAACTTTCCATTGCTCTCCATTTTCATGGCATTAGCCAACTGGGGCAAAACAGCTCCTTGGGGAACTGCCCCCGCCCCCAGAGCAGGGCTAGAGGAGGAAGATGGAACTACATACACCCCGACTTTCTCTTTACCGCAGGCCTCTCACCCTCAAGTAACAAGGCGGGCGCCCATGGCTCAGGCTTTTCTGGAAGCCTGTGGTCCGATTTCTCTTGGGTCCCTCCTAAGTGGGGAGGCCACACAGGTGCCGGCCCTTCTGGCAACGACGCGCCAATAAAAAACATCACCCCCCTATGGGCCAGCCCCGAAGGTCAGCCACCCATGCTGGGGGACAAGGCCTCCCCGTGGGGACCCCCGATGCCCTGGGGACAGGCAGAGGGGCGCCGGGGCCCTGTACTGCCTGCTGCCCTAGCAGGTGGATGAGGAGCCTAAGCGCGGCGCCGAACACTTGCAGCCTGAGACCAGGTGCGGGGTCAGGCTGCAAGCCACGAAACACTGGGCCTGATCCCTAAGACTTCCATGGAAGCTCCCCCAGATTGGGATTCAGCGCTGTGTATCCTGCCACCCCTGGGCTCCCCACCCCCCCCCCGCAGCACCTGCTTCTATGTGCCCTGGGCCCGCCTCCCCTCCCCTCAGCCCCCCCCCGCCCCGCCACAGCACCTGCTCCTATGTGCCCTGGGCCCGCCTCCCCTCCCCTCAGCACCCCCCCCGTGGCACCTGCTCCCATGTGCCCTGGGCCCACCTCCCCTCCCCTCGGCTCCCCCCTCAGCTCCCCCCCCATGGCACCTGCTCCCATGTGCCCTGGGCCCACCTCCCCTCCCCTCGGCTCCCCCCTCAGCTCCCCCCCCCGTGGCACCTGCTCCCATGTGCCCTGGGCCCACCTCCCCTGCCCTCGGCTCCCCCCTCAGCTCCCCCCCCGTGGCACCTGCTCCCATGTGCCCTGGGCCCACCTCCCCTCCCCTCGGCTCCCCCCTCAGCTCCCCGCCCCCGTGGCACCTGCTCCCATGTGCCCTGGGCCCACCTCCCCTCCCCTCAGCACCCCCCCCCGTGGCACCTGCTCCCATGTGACCTGGGCCCACCTCCCCTCCCCTCGGCTCCCCCCTCAGCTCCCCGCCCCCGTGGCACCTGCTCCCATGTGACCTGGGCCCACCTCCCCTCCCCTCGGCTCCCCCCTCAGCTCCCCGCCCCCGTGGCACCTGCTCCCATGTGACCTGGGCCCACCTCCCCTCCTCTCGGCTCCCCCCCACAGCACCTGCTCCTATGTGCCCTGGGCCCGCCTCCCCTCCCCTCGGCGCCCCCCCCCCCGTGGCACCTGCTCCCATGTGACCTGGGCCCGCCTCCCCTCCCCTCGTTCTGAAAACGCAGCCAGCCATCAGAGGAACGGGTGGCGCCCGGCCCGCGGTCTCTAGGACAGCGGCCTGGGCCTGGGCCTGGGCCTCGGGCTGCCTTCTTGGGCTCAGCCGGGGCCGTGGCTTCAATGAGCATCGAATCCCGCTGGTATCGAGGCCTAAGCATGGAGGTGCACTCAAGACCCGGGTGCTCAGGGAGCAAAAACAAAACAAGACCTCACCAGAGGTCACCTGCCATAGAGAGCGGCTCTTTCCCTGTCCTCGATGCCAGCCCCCCTTCTCCGCTTCGCCCCGGCGGTGTCACGCACCCTAGGGATGGTCTGCCGCACGTTCCCAACCTTCTGGATCAGGTATCCTTTTTGTAGATGAAGACACTGAGGCCTAGAAAGGTTAAGTGGACACAAACCACAGAACCAGTAAGTAGAGGAGCCAGGGTTTAAACCCAGGGAAGCCCATGGTTCTCGCCACCGTGACCCACCACCTTCTCCAACCGTCCCCCTGCTATGGCCCAATGGCCCACTGCGGTGCACATCACACCCCCGCCCTCCGCGGTCCTCTGGTCTCAGCTCTCTGGTTTGCATGTTGCATTTTGCCTCCGTTCCACAGCTGCTGCCAGCAAGTCTTCCCAGAGTGTTCCGGGAGCCGGGAGAAGCTCCGTGGGGCACTGGGGGGGGGGGGGACAGAGAGGGGCAGGATGGACACGGGCCGGTAGGTGACAGCGGGCGTCTACTCTGATGCAGGCTACGTGTCCGACCCCATGAGCCCGATGCAGCTTCATTCCTGCCGGAGTAGAGGCCGCTGTGAGGACAGTGGCTGACCGCGTGGGGTGAGGACCTACGGACGCTCTCCCCGGGACCTACGGACGGCTCTCCCCGGGACCTACGGACGGCTCTCCCTCCCAACCGGGCAGGCTCGCGTCCCATTATAATATTTTACCCTCCAAGGTCTCCCCATTATTGTTCATTCTGGTCCTAATTCCCCACCGCAACTCGGGCTTTGGATTCGTGGCTACGGAATGACACGCAAGACCTGGAAGAACCAAGACCTGGAAGGTCCTTAAAGAATTGGTTTGGATTTTGTAACTGAAAGAACAAATCGGTATCGTTGCTTGGGGATGGGGCCCGAGTCCGTGGTGGGCGCTTGCCACGCTGCTCTGTGGACTTGTGTTTGAGAACTGTGGGTTTGATGTGCTTTTTTTTGGGGGGGGGGATATTATTCATTTTCCCATCTTATTATGTCACCTCCAGCACCCAGCTCTGTGATTAAAGGTTCTTTGTTGGTCCACAAAAGGGATCCAGAAGCGCCTGTCATTCCCACAAGCCGTCTTCTGCCTATACCTTCTTTATGACGTGTCGGTGATGACCTTCAGGTCAGGACGCTCGCAAAATGTTGGGCTCAGTCATTCAGCCTCCCTGTACATGACGCCGAGCGCCCTGTGCTTTGTTTAGGGGCCTCGTCGCTGTTAGCACCAAGGTGTCATAAATGCCATCGGTTCACGTAAGGACACGGGCCCACGAGTGCAAACCCGCTGTGCGAACCAGAGTCTGGCGCAGGGCGTGGGGAGGCTGTCCGAGGCACCAGTGGCCTCCGAAAAATGAGCAATCTGGGGGCGCCTGGCTGGCTCAGTCAGCAAATCCTGTGACCCTTGATCTCAGGGCTGTGAGTTCAAGCCGCATGTCGGGGGGGGGGGTAGCATTTACCTGCAGAGAGTTGGGGGGGGCGGGGATCTGCTCTCTACGCTCATTCCAACCAGGAAGACAGGATTACTTCCACCAAACAAAAGTTTTGCCATTGAAATGCAGACTTGGGGAAAAAAAAATAAAGACAGGCAGGAAACCACGAAAAATCAGGGTGATAATTACTGCTTTTCACCTCCTTAAGAGAAAAAAAAAATTAGTAAAGGAAAATGGGGTATGGGGTAGCCTGTAAGTCAGAGTTTCTAGATCTCAGCACTGCCGATGTGCTGGGGGTGGTGACCATCTTCATGGGCGCCGTCCTGGGCTCGGGGGGATGTTTACAGCATCCTGGCTTCTGCGCCCACATGCCAGTCACAGCCCCCCTGGAAAGTCTCCAGACATTTCTAAATGTGCCCGGGGCGGGGGGTGGGGGGGGGACAAAACTGCCCCCAGCTCAAGAACCACTGCTCTAAACCCTGAGAGGACAACTGAGGACTTGAAGAGCAATGATGGAATATTGAACCCGGCGTGGACTGGACTTAGGCAAATCTGCTTTCTCGTCCTGAGTGATACGGGCTCGTATGCAAGGGCAAGGGAATGGGCAAGTGCTGATTGCTCCATTCAGGCCTCTGGTGAGCTACCCCCGTGACCTCCATCCTCCCTTTTCCCCCCTACTGGTTAGAAATTAGGTTTCTTGAGGGCAATTTCTATCAGGACAAGCAGCCTCACTTCTAAAACGCTTCAAAAATATATATAAATAAATAAAAAATAAAAAATAAAAAATAAATAAAACGCTTCCGAGCCTTTTCTTAGGACTTGTGGTTCCAAAGTCGAAGGTCCTGTGATCAGCAGGGGGTAGCCCAGTGCCAGCCCAGCAGACCCAACATATGACACCTCCACTCAGCTTCACTCTTCTTCTCCCCCGGCCTCTCGCTTCCCCACCTCATTATTCTGGCGTCATAGGTGCTCTTTCCCACCTAGCAGGTTGCCAAGGGGCCTTCTAAGAAGCAGAAACAAGGAGCCTGCAGTGGCCGTGCAGGTATAAAGCCTTCTGGCAAGGGGCTGGCCAAAGAGCACCTGTCTCTAGGGCTCTCCCCCTCTCTCTAGGCCTCTGCTGGGGCTGCTTGAGGGAATGAGCCAGCACCCAGCCTGGGGTTCTTCAGGCCTTAATCCTTTTATGAGTTGAAAGGAATACATTAGAAAGTCAAAAAAATAAAAATAAGTGAATATCTACTTTTAACTAAACTAGTCATGGTAGGTAGGCGTGATGCTGATTGCGTGTGTGATCAGGCCCGGGCTGGGGTAAAGCTGGCATCCTCCCAGTTTCCCGTGGACCGGAGATCATATCCGGAGGAAGGACAGTTTCCTTTTGAAACACTCCTCGAGAGGGGGATTTTCTAGAAAAAATACGTGAGGCTCCCTCTCTTTGTTTCCTTTAATTAACGACCTTCGCTCTCCACCATGTATCTCCTTAGGTTACCGCTTCCCTCTGGCTCTTGTCCAGGATCTGCAAATAATGAGACTAATGTGTCTTGATTCCTGAGAAGGGGAACCTTTTCACAGATGCCAACCTGTAGCTCACAAACCCTTGGCGTTACTGCACCTCTAATGGGGCCTAAGGATCATCTTAGAGTTTGTCTTGAGATCAGGAGGTTTTCGTGTGCGCGCCTGTGTGTCTTTTCTCCTTGCTGAAAAATGTCTCGCTAATTGCTTTCTTTTTCTGCTGGTAAAAACGAACTTCTGTGATCATGTTTTTGCATGCTTAGCACATTACATTTTTTTCTGTGCGCGTGCAGCACTGAGCTCACTTCGAAGATGTTCAATTAGCTATAATTGTAAGCCAAATTACAGCAGCACCAGGAGAGAGTTATTCCAACAGAGTGATTATTTGGGTTAAATTATTTCCAAAGCTGACACTTCCCTGGGAAAGAGGGAAAAAAAAATGGGTGCTGGCGGTAGGAGAAAAGGCTAGTGCTAGATAATCCATCTGAAATGAAAGCCTTGACTTCTTTCTTTCCCTCTCTTCGTCCCTAACTTTCCTTCCTTCCTTCCCTCCCTCCTTCCTTCCTTCCTTCCTTCCTTCCTTCCTTCCTTCCTTCCTTCCTCCTTTCCTTCCTCTCTTCCTTCCTTCTTGCCCTAAAACAGTGACCACTGACTTTGGACTCACTCAGACCTCCTACAGGAACTGCGTGACCTTGGGCAAGTCACTTAACCTACCTGAGCTCCAGGTTATTTTCTGTAAGATGGTAGTAATAGCATTTCTCTTGTAGCGTTACTCTAAGAATTACAAATCCTATAAAGTTCATTGTAGAGTTCCTGGCACACAATAGCTGGTATTGTTGTAAATGTTGTTGTTTTGTTTTTGTTTTTTTAATGAGAAAGGTATGCCACTTTTTTTTTTAAGATTTTATTTATTTATTCATGAGAGACACACACACAGAGAGAGAGAGAGAGGCAGAGACACAGGCAGAGGGAGAAGCAGGCTCCATGCAGGGAGCCCGACGTGGGACTCAATCCCAGGACTCCAGGATCGCGCCCTGGACTGAAGGCAGGTGCTAAACCACTGAGCCACCCGGGCTCCCAAATGTTGTTCTTGATCATTACTGTTATATCGCCACGCAGCCAAAGAGCTGTAGTACAAGAGGGGGGCATAAGGAGGGTGGAGACGGTTTTCTCTCATGTGAAAATAACCATCAATGTCCCTAAAACCCCACCTTTGCAAACAGCCGTCTTCTGAGCTGACACTTCTAAGGCAGAGTGAGCCGAGATCCAGCGCCCTTAGGCTTGTCTTCCTTGGTGATGACTTATTTATACCCGAAATCAAATCAGAAGAGAAATCAAATCCTTTAAATCAAATACAAGAACCAAAAAGCATTCCCCCCACAAGAGGGATGCTAAGTAAAAATAGCAAGAAAACGTGTATCGAACACCCATTATGTGGCAGGAACTGTTTTAGGTGAATTTAAATGCAATTATGCCACTGAGTTCTCCAAATAATTCTGGAAAGGGAGAATTTTTTTTTTCTTGCTTGCTCAAGTGGGTAATGAATCTGAGCGAGCATAGAATGGAACCAAGTTTCAAAGCTAGGTTTGCCTCGCACTAGTATCCACGATTTGTTCACTACCCAGTACCTGCCTCCATTGTGTGGAGGAAAAGTAGCAAATGTCCACCAGCTAGGATCGTGGTAAAAGCACACAAATCTGCAGTCCTGCGGTCCTGGAGAAAATCTGGGAATTAGCCTGGGGAAAGTTAGTTTCAGGGGCCAGAAACACAAACCTTTTCTGATTGCTGTGGCTCATTACTGCAAAGTAAAACCAAAAATATAATCATCATCATTTTTTCCCTGTTTTAATTATGGAAAAGAAGGGGCTGGAATAATCTCAAGGCTCCAAAAAAATAAAAAAATAAAAAAAAACACATTGTTATTTTCTAGGCAGACTGAGCCAGAAATGATTGACAGGAGCAAGACTCTCCCCATGATAAGCAGGAACAAAAAAGTTAGGAGGGCAAAGCACGGCAATTAGGGAAGCCAAGGACTTTCACATTTTCCTCTCCTCATTAGCACCCTGGGCAGGGGAGGCAAGGAGAGAGAGCGCCGTCGCCAGCAGGATCTGAATGCCTTCCTCCTTCCTACTTGTGCATCCCGTGTGGTCACTGGAGCTTGCATCCTGGAGAGCTTCCCCTCATCGGTTCCCTTCCATATTTCAAGAGCCACCAGGGCAAAGAGGAGCCAGTGGACACTTGCAATCCCTTCCCCAGGATCCGCCGAACGCTCAGCCGCCGCAATAACAGACTGTGGTCCAGGACCTTCGGCTCAATTAGCACCGGATGCAAAACATGATGGAGAAGCAAAGTTCCTCTCCCTCCTTGGACACCCTACCTTTTATGAGGCTAACTAGAAATAAAAAGAGCAGGGGTTGCACATCTCTCCCCAGGCCAGAGGTCCAAGGCAGCACAGCAGCCGACCCAGTGGCAGGGCGCTAATTAAATTAGGCCTTCTTGAATTAAAACACTGCCACGGGGGCCAAGCCCCGCTGATGAGGACACACGTCTCCAAAGCACTTTCAGCCGAGCTTTATGTTTAATTAGTGAGATAAAAAGAATATTATCTCAAGTATCTGCCTCTTAAGCAATGGGCTCGCATGCAGAAGGAAGGTATCTTCACCACCTTTAAAAAAGGTTTCGAAAAAAAAAAAAAGGTTTCGAAGCTCACTAATTTCCACTAACCTCCATCTCCCCTTTTATCTCAACTAATCAGTAAAGGGTACGATTCCAGCAAGGCCATGAAATGCAATAAAAATAATTTGAATGTTGGTTTGTCCTTCGGTTTTCTACTCAGAATAATTGATGGTCTGCTTAACACCACTTCAAAAAGTAATCCGCAGTGAAGAACATCAGGTTCTTCTTTCAGCGTTTGGGTTTTTTTTTTTTTTTTTCCCTTTCCCGAAACTCAAATTAGTCTAAGGGAAAAAAAAAATCAATGTCAAGATTGAGGATAATTTGAAGTAATCAGAATAAAAATGAATGGGACACTGGATGATGTT